CTTAAATGTCAGCGATCATCAATTTTAATATGGTAGGCCACGTGTAGCGCTATCGGCCGCACCGCAATTTTAGCAAATAAGTACTGAAATTAAAATGCTAAGCAGATTGCGAAAAGTGGCAATAAATCCAGGAAAAATTCGACCCACGCAAAAATTTTTCTTTGTACTTTTTTTTCTTGCAAATCTTTGATGAAAAACTGAAGAAATTATCAAAAATTTTTCGTAGGTAGAAATTTTAGATTAAAAATTGAAGAAACCGGACTTGAGAAAATGCCAAAAAAATGAAAAATACAGTGAGACCCCAAGATGAGGACGTAATTGGGGCACCAAGAGTGTCCGGATGTCGGAATATCCCTCATTTGAGTCTTCTTTCCCCTTACACTTCAATGCTAATGCAGTATATCTAATCGGGTCTCCATTTTGTCAAAAATTAGGAATAAGTCCTCAAAAAATTGTTTCCCTCAACTTCAAGTTTTATTGTGGAACAAAACCACATAGAATCTGATCTTTTGGTATCAAAATGAGATTAAAAACTCAAAAAAAGAATTAGTCTTGCTAAAATATGACCTCCGGAATTTTTCCAAATAAATTTTCTAGTTGACTCTACTGTTTTTTTAACTGTATACGGACGAGTATTTTAAGACTATTTTCTTGCGAAAAAGAGTTCGTAAATGAAAGAGAGACATGAAAACCTGTTTCCCTAGGCGTGACTAAAATCTAGAAGACTCTGATTTCAGACGGTCTTCAGCGTTTCGGGGCTTTAAAGGAACGGATAAAGGTTCTGTGGTCGTCGTCGGAAAAGCAGTTCATCATAAGACCCAGTGGGTCGTTTATGACCGAATCGGGGTTAGTCAGCGAGTCCAGTTTGTTGACCTTCCGTACTAACGGCCGAAACGAGGCCAATCAGAAGTGCGGGTAATCAATGCATTGTTTTTTACGCTCGCGGCAAATGTGCGCGCTAATAATGCTGTAGGTCACGGGATTCCTGAACCAGTCCTCCACTGCATCGAGGCATGCTTTATGAAACAGGTTGTTATTTAACCAAATTCCTGCTATTGTCCAGAATGACTTTGAACCTTCTTCCGGAAAGAATAATAACTTGAAGCGCAAATGACTTTCGCCTCACATTGTCTGCTGACGATTCATTCGAATCTGATGATTATTGACGCAATGTTATTTTTAGAATATTACAGATGAGCTCTTTCATTCAATGCGAAATGAACGAGAAGAAAAATATTTCCAAGAATGAGTTCATTTAAAAATTTCCATTTTGGGCTTTCCGGATTTTCTGTGTTGAGCCGGATGGAAGAGGGAATCACAAAGAAAAATTTCACCTCCGATTCCAAGTTTTATTTCGTTGCTATATGTTGAAATTAATAAAAAAATTTGTCCGCTTTTTATTATTAAGATGGGATTGCAATAGTGCCTTTTAACAACGAAAAACATTGACTTTGAACCCTTTTAAAGAGAAAAAAATATAAAACAATGATGACATATACCGCTTTTTGAATTTTTGGTAACAGGCAAAAAATGATAATTCTGCCCTAACGTTATCTCGGAAAATTGGTGCTTTTTGTGACTGAAACTTGGGAAAAGGCCATTTTTATCATAATAACAACAGCAACAAAAATGCCTTTTTCCTCCAAGAGTGCACGGTTCCATTCGCGGAATTTCCATCTGAAAAAAGGGCCATCTTCAAAAGTCTCAAGCAAAAAGAACACCCCTGCTTATAACTGAACTAAGCATCAATTCTACAAAATGTGCCTCTGGCTTTTCTTCCCCTGATGTGAATGAGGAAAATTCAGGGACCAGCTGGGGAACATTTACCACGTGAAGGAAAAGAGCAGAATTGAGGAGGTTTATGGAGCAGAAGTGGTGGAACGTGCACAGGATGAAATTTTCCAGGAGAGGATTCTGTTATTTGCAGCCACTGCGGAATAAAAAATGGGATATCCCCCTCGCAACGGAATTCCCTGAGAGAATTTTTCTCTGCCTTGACTGTACAACAACGGACTCACACACTTGGCTTTTCGAAACCGAAGAATGTGAGTTACGGAAAGACCGGAAACCCCCGTTTTCAATTGGAAGTGGGGGGGTCCTTGAAAGGGCTCTAAAAAAAAATTCATCATGTTTAAAAATATATTGTATACATAATATTTCCAGAAAATTAAGGCAAAAAGTGTAGTCATCTCCTAATGGAAAAGTTTGCGGTTTCGGTTCACGACTATCATGAGTTTTGTTGGTCATTCGTACATTGTCTTCTTGAACAGATGGAGATGGAGGTGAAGTTAATTCATTGATAAAAAGAATAGTTTCCTGGCTTTTATTCCAACTTGTTGTGCTCTCCTACATTGAATTAGAGTTGACAGAGGGAAATAGAGAAAAAAAAATTGAATCTAGAATGAGGGATTACCCTACTCATTTTAGACCTGATGGATTTCTAGACAGATTACATATGAAACCGAATTACTTTATCTCGAATATTTTTCAGATCTTATAATCAAATTCCGAGGGAAAATTTTCTCTCAATTTCGAAAAAATAATGTTGATCCTGACTTCGACCGCCCGAAAACAATAATAATTGGCAACAAAGAATTTTCCTCGATTTCAAATTGAATGGAAGATGATTCCCAGAAATTTAAAAACAGGCTTGCCTAAAGTTTTCACCATGAATTCCGCATGAATTTATAATATTTATGCGATTTTAACCCGAAAACTGAACAGCGAAAAAGAAAGTACTTCATTTCAAGGTTCTTACGAAAATTCAGAAACAAATTTTTCAAGGTTAAATGTTCTTCCAGTCATAGTTAAAACTATTAATAATCCTCCATAAAACTTTAGAGTGAAAAATGCCTAATTTCTTTCTTTGTGTTCTTAAAATGGATACTTTTTTCAACAGTCGTAACTGAAGTTGAACCTTCAAAATGGACTAAAGGTTCAGGATGAAAAAGGTCAAAAGGCTGTTCAGTTTTATATGATTATTTAATTCATTCATTTACCAGAGCACAAGATGACCTCACTTATTCCTGACCAAGGATTCAAGAGTGTGACTCACGAAAAAAATCTCCATAGAAAAATGCTTACAATGTGCATTAAATGGCGATTTTTCCAGGGATCCGAATCATTTTCTGCGAATCATTTCCGGAACGTCTACCGGAAATGTGATACAGTATTTTCGGCATACGAAGGAAATACGCCGAATCGGGACACGGAAGTCCTAGATTTATCTCTTTGAATAATGATAGAAAAAAAAGAGTTACGAAGATGTATGGGGCTGTGGACGAAAAGCGAGAAACTCGAGCATTTCACTCGAGTCTCTATTTTAATAAACGCGAAGCAACGAAATATTCCGAGGATGAACAAAAGAAAAGTGAAGGGGAAAGTTCTGACTGATTTCGTCTCAGTACTCCGAAGGATGCTTCAACTTTCGGGATATTGAAAATGCTTATCTTCTGCCCGGTTTTCTCACTTTTCATAACACGCGAAACCTATTCATCTCTTTCGCAATTTTTCCGCTATTGCGCCACTTCCGCATAATATAAATATATACAGTATGTATATTTATATATATATAACAGACAGCCGGAAACTGTAAGGAAACGTTTACGTGTTTCCTTGAATTTCGGAACTAATCAGTAATCGAGAAAACGCTATTAAAAATCCCAAATATTATCCATCTACTTTGCAAAAACATTTTTCCCTCGGCAAGAATAAAAATCCTTTTACATTTAATCGCTGATGTCGGCGATTTCAATTCAGTAGCGGAATCAAGTTGAAATCAAATCAGCTTCTCGAAAGAGGAAGTAGAAAACCCTCAATTTATATTCCATGAAATTAATAATTCGCTGAGCTTTTCCCCTTCTCTGATGTCGGCGATTTCAATTCAGTAGCGGAATCAAGTTGAAATCAAATCAGCTTCTCGAAAGAGGAAGTAGAAAACCCTCAATTTATATTCCATGAAATTAATAATTCGCTGAGCTTTTCCCCTTCAAAATAAAATTTCTAAACTGCAATCAATCTGAATGGTTCATATTTTCTCTCGAGAAAATTCTTCGACGATTTTTTTTATTTAATTTTTTATCTTACTGCACTACAGATGTTTCACAAGGATGAATGTCGGAATATCAGGTTTCAAAAAAGAATATTCAAAAAATTAAATCAGCAAATCTCATACTTTTGATTTTACTTGAGTTAGGATAGTTATGCATAGATCAGGTTTGTGAATAATTTCGTTGTGCAAGGAGATGATATAGGTTATTATGATTATTCTTTGCTGCGTTAAAGTATATTTGAAATTTTTATTTTTCCCACAGCTCTTTTTGCTCGTTTCGCACTACACTACGTTATCAAATGTTTCTCAGCCTTTAGGAAAATAAAAAAAAATTCTTCAATTAAAACTGAAACATGAAGAGGACCTTCATGCAATAGACATTAATTCGTCACGTGTCGAATCAAAGATTCGGGATAGGAATAACATGCATCCTCATGAAACATATTTAGTACCTGTACAGTAACAGAAAAAATGAATTGAAACGAAAAAAATCTACTGAGATTTTCATCCAAAGAAAATATGAACCATTCAGATTGATTGCGGTTTAGAAATTTTTAGTTCGAAGGGGAAAAGCTCAGCGAATCATCAATTTCATGGACTTTAAATTCAGGCTTTTCTACTTCCTTCTTTGAGAAGTTGATTTGATTTCTAATTGATTCCGCTATGCTGAATTAAAATCGCCAACATAAGCGATCAGATAAGAAATATTTTGATTCTTGCAGGAAAAAATGCTTTTGCAAAGTATATGGATAATAATTCGGGTTTTTTAATCACGTTTTCTCGATTACTGATCATAAAAGTTCCAAAATTTGAGGAAACTTGTAGAAGTTTCCCTGCAGTTTTGGGCTGACTATAATATATATATATATATATATATATATTTATTTATTTATTTATTTTATTTATTATACGTTCTCCATAAGCGACGGACTGTACTTTCAAGTTTCGCTTAATTATTTATTTTTTTCCACTCACATAGAAAGTCTCCCAAGACCCAGGCTTCAGGGGGTCCTTGCAGCTCTACAAGGGCAGTTGGTAACGTGAGCAGGAGTACCAAGAGGTCTGCCAGGGCAAGATTCACCAGGAACAAGTTGGTGGAGTTCCTCAAATCTCGGTTCCGCCAAATCACCACAGGTACCAGGGAGTTCCCGAGCAGTCCGATCCCGAGAATGAGCACACACACCACAGTGGACACTGTCCTGATGTACTGCAAAAGACCAACAACGAAAACGAAATCAGTAATTTCAGAAGATATTCCGAGATCCGAGTATGACATGGCTTGAAATGTTCTGCAGACCATCATCAAGGCACTTTTTAAGTGCGCACGGTTAATTTTTGCCAAAGCGAATGCTTGGAATTGGAAACGGCGATTTTTTTGGAATTTGAAAATTCACGAGTGAGAAAATTTCGGTGATAGATTATGCCAATGGAGAACAAGACCAGTGTGAATAAGCAAGAATTACATTAAATTTTTTTTTTGCAGTTCTCGAGTACTGTAGAGATAAACATTTGAGTAAGCCTTTTTTCTGCGTACTGTTTCCAATGAATATTTTGAGCTTTTCGCATTCACCTTCTCATAAAAAATATTTTTCAATTGTCCTCCTTTGACCATTACGGAATTGAAAAATTAATTAGCCGTAAGTAATTTTAATTCTGAGGCATGAGATGGTTTTTCGTGTCTTCATTCGGTTGCTGTGTCATTTTTTCTCGTTTGAATTTTGATCATGGGCATTTTCTCCACACCGAGAATTTTTTTTTTTCTCCTCCGGTATTTCCCTCATGCAGGTATTTTCTTCTCAGCCGCATTTTCTCCTGGCCCATTCAAACCAACTTGAAAAATTAATTAGTAAAAATTCAGGGATGAGCGGATTTTGATGAAACAGAAGAAAACCCTTGAATTTCGTCGGATTTACCTCAAAATGATCAATCATTTCAACCACCAGCATTCATCCTATTCACGAGCATTTTATCAACCAGTTCATAAATTAAAAGCGTGACATTCGCATAAGTTTGACGAGATGATAGAAACGTTCGATGCTCCTCGTCCAACCAGCATTTCGCACAACTTGGAGGCAAATGCCATTTTAATATCGAGCGTAAAACGGAATGCGGATTTCATGCGCGGAAACTTTTCCGAATAATGAGTCAACCAGCAGCAAGACATGTAATGTCGTCATTTCCTTTCTTGCACTTTAGGGACAATCTTATTGCGAGAGAAAACGAGATGGTACAAGAGCTGCTGATATTTCCGTGATGTCCTGCACTTTTGGGAATAGGGTGCAAAAAATATTCGCACCCGGGAGTATGGAACATCGTGCGGATAACGTGCCTAATGACCTTGTCGTGTCACGAAAATTCCGGGGTCTTATGCACAAAGAGTTTCCGCAAAAAAAATGGGTCGCATGTGAAGACATTTCAGAAAAAATGAATACGTTTGCCTTGTAAAAAAGGATTGTCGTGACGTGCATCTGAAAGCCTGTGATATTACTACAGTATTTAATTTATATGAGAATATCAAAGCTTTGAAATTCACACGTGTTTCGATTTAAATAGAGACAATTTTACTCCTGTGCCGAAATATCAATTCTTATAATTTATTCAAGAATGTCAAGTTGTACCATTTTGCGGCAAAGCCGAGATAAATCGGCGTAAATTTTACATAATTAAGGTTTCAGAAATGAAGAAAAAATGGAAAAAGAACAAAAGAAAAAAAGAGGTGATTGACTTGGGGTGGTTCAACTTATTGAGGTTCAACATTAATGCAAAGGATAAAGAATATGTTTTTCAGAATCATTAAACAATGTTCACTCGGATTTGATTAATCTTTCGTCAACTCAGAAAAATTCCTGTAAGAAAAAATCTCATCGCAATTCACGACTTCCAAAAAGATTAGGAACTCCTTCGGATAAAATTAAACTTCAATTCAGCCCTTCCAATGAATTTTAAAACACTCGCAAAAAAACATTATGCCTATGAATCAAAGTCCTTCACACGTCAAGTGTTTCCATTTTACTATATCCCAGCACCTGTTTCTTATTCTGGATCGATGGAATGCGAGGCAGCTATTTCCGGATACAAACAACAGAACACGAGATTAGGTCACATGATTAGAAAAGTTGTTTCCTCTAGACACGTATGCAAAAAAAACAACAACCGTGTACATGCACCACATGTCGTCATGCGATTGATTTCCTGGCTTCGTTCCTCATCCACTCAATCGAGCACCAGCGGATTTATTTCTGCAAGGACAACTTTCTAGAATCCAAGGACTAAGTCTTGGCCCACAATAACAATGTATGTACTGCATCAAGATTAAAGAAATATCCTTGAGTTCCCGTCTTTCGTCAATAAATCCCTGTGACACAAATAGGAAGTTATTTTTAACGGCAAGCAGTTGTGGAATGAAAGTCTCAGACTGAGCTTCCCTGATACCAGAGAAAAAAATTATTTTAGGAAAAATGTTGAGAATCTTCAAATACGGGATGATGTGACTACAATTCTTCCGAATTTCAAAAAAAAACCAACGAATTGGTTAATAAATTCAAGTTCGAAAATAATATTTCTTTTCTTTTTCTTGCAACGTTACTCTTAATTTTTACTCGGCAAAGTCGGATTTCCAAGAAAACGGGACATAATTTTGAAATTATTATAAAGGGAGCCTTAAAAAGATGAATTCCTAATGAATTTCCAGAAAGTCTAAGTTCCAGAAAATATTTCGAGCAATTTGAAAAGCTTTTTCTACACTGCGTGAAATATGGAGGAGTTGTAAAATACGCCACACTTCAAAATTTCAAAACGCCAGACGAATTGGTTTACAAATTTAAGTTGGAAGAAAAAAATTTGCTGGGTTCCCAACCAATCTCTCAATTTTTACTCGGCCAGATCGAAGTTCCAAAAAAGGGAAATGATGCACAAATGAAAATAAAGGGAACCTTCCAAAGATGCATTTTTTATTGAATTTTCCGAAATTCCAAGTTCTAGCTAATATTTTTAGCAATTTAAAAAGCTTCTTGAACAATGCGCAAATTCTGACGAAAAACGTGCCCTATTTGAAGGATTTATGATCTTGGCAATAAAATGGCAATTGGCAAACAAGAAGTCGCGCCATTATAAAAAAATGCGCCAGAAAAACATTCTCAGCAAATTTACGAGAGGCATTCTGAAGTATTTTACTTCCCTCACGATAGTTTGGAGAATTCTGGCACAGAAATTCGGGTACAAGTACTCCGAAAACTTCATTTCAAGGTACAGTACAGACAAATACTCCAAACCCACGATGTTTCTTAAGAAAATAAGAATAATGAAAAAAGTGTATCTTCTGTTCCACTGTGACAAACGATGACGAGGCGAGAGACATTTCAAAGAGGATAATTGGCAGATTTTTGTTTTCATAAATCTAGACAAGGGCGGAAAGCTGGAAGACATTTCCAAAAAATCGGATTCTTCACGAGTTTCGACTCCACGTGCCAAAAGTGCCATATTTCATTCAAATTTCAAGCCTGTGGTGAAGTCCTAAGCAAGAAAATGAATTTGCTTTAAAATTCGAAAAAAGAATTGCACTCATCAGTTGAGAGAACCTTCGACAGATTTCTAAAAAAAAAGAATTTTGGGATAATTTGTCAACCGTTAAGAAACGGACTCGAGTTAGTACTAAAATAAATGGTAAGGAACCCCAACTGGGTGCTACAATGAAATCCGGAAGGAGTTTGAGTTAAGGAACCGTTTATTTTTTGGAATTCTTCGTTGAAAATCACGCCCATAAGGGTGAGCAACCCTTTAAAATGATTTCTTGGTCAGCAATTTCAAATTTCGAGGATGGGAGACGCTAATAAAATTCAACGTCTTTTTTTTATGCTCTTCTGAACTGGAAAAACGCGTAAATTGAAAAATATCTCCCAATAACCTTAAAAATGGAGCAAAAGTTTGATATTCAATAGGATGCAGGAACAAATCTGAATTTTCGAAATTCACGGATTTTTCCGAGAGTTGATTAATTATTGATATGATGATATCTGAGCAAAAAACAGCTTCAAAACAAACTAATTCACTTTGAAATGTGCAAGAAGGACAATTTTCAAAGATAGGTTTGACTTGAAGAAATTACAACATCATTTTTATTGTAACTTGAATTTCCTTCGAAAAAAAAAAATTTCTTCAACAAATGTCTGTTGCAAAATGCTTTGACAGGTTTCTCAAAAAAGAATTTTTAAAAATTTTTCAAGCGCTCAGAAATAGACTTGAATCGGGACAAAAATCAATGACGTATATAATTTCATTTTCACAAGTAAGTGAGAAGAAAGTGATAAAAACGCATCACAAAAAATTGAGTGAATTGCATTTCGTTTGAAAATCGCCAAAAAAAGAAATACATTTCTTCAACACACGTCTGTTAATTAAAGCTGCGACAGTTTTCTCAAAAGAAAATTCATTGAAAAATTTGTCAAGCGTCCAGAAACGGACGAAATCAATTCGTGCAATATTCAATTCCCACAAGTAAAATCGAAAACAATTATAAAAGCACATCAAACAATTTTAGGTGAAAGGATATTTTGGTACAGTGTTGGCAAATCTTTTTCTATTTTTTTTTCTGGTCTACCCTGTCCATTAAATCGATGGAATCGTATATCCTGACATTCGAAAACCAGATACCCGAGGCAACTTGGCAATACTTTGCGTACCCCGTGAGTGATACATTCTGAGGAATGAGCCCACTCACTCTTCTTCTTCTTTCACAAATCAGCGAGCTCCACTTCACTCTTTTCCCAGCGTGTATAAAGGTTACAACTATAGAAAAATGTCAAGAAAAGGAAGAAGAATGAGGCTGAAGGAAAACCAGGACGTTGAAACAACTTTAGCGACCGGAGTCGACGACACGTGACGGAAATATGAGGCTGGTTTTCAATGAGAAGAATCTCTTGTCGACCCCCCCTTCGGTTCGAATCCAGCCCCAGACCTAATATACTCCACACTTACATATAAACAGGAGCGGGAATATTTATTTTTCCCGGAAATGAAAATAAATACGACAGACTAAGAAAGACCCACATTCCCACACCGGAAATACTGCGCGAAGAATCGTATATTACTCCCACGCAGTTGCATAAATGTTAATTGTTTGTAACAACTCAACCGGTCTCAAGACAGAAATGTTGCATTTCCGCCCAAATATTGACAGAGTTTCTCTTTTTGCGTGCACATCGTAAATCTGAATTTTGCTTTCTCCACCAGTCTGACAATAATAAAACCGGGGTTCCCCCATTTGCTTTCATGTAATAAAATTTTCTCTGCATCCAGATGCCGAGATTTTGTTTACTGCATCTTTCGCGAGGATGTAAAAAATGAAAAATGATTTCACACATGGAAATACAGCACAAGACCATTATTCAACGAATAATGCAGTTCAGCGGAAAATGGGTTCGGTGTGAGGATACTGCCGATAATTCCGAGGTAATGAGGTGTGAGAGGGACTGCTACCAACTAATGCAGAATATATGTCATAATTTGCTTGTTCTTGCAGGTGTAATGAATTCCAAACGCAATTCCCTGCCTATTTTCTTTGAAAAAAAAAATTCAATTAAGTTTTCAATATTGATAAACAGACACGCTCTAAAAAAAAAAGATGCGCACATACGAGAGTCTCAAATGTTGCTTCATCATCAGGGTAATTTTAATTCTTAAAATTCCGTAAGTTTACCATTTCGCACGTCGGAGACTCAAACTGCATAAATTTTCTCACCTCTGGAAAGACCGGAATGGTGGCATTAAACGCGGTCCCGATGACAAAAGTTTCGTTCTTGTCCCCGAAGTGTGTGAGGTTGACGAACGACGCCACTGTCAAGAAATCCGGCGCCGGGTCTGCCGCCATTTCACTCAACAACTCCTGAACCTGCTGCTCGTCGTCATCCCTGTCGATAATTGCACGAGAGAAGAGAAGGAAACATGTTTAGTGCCAAGTTTACACTCAAAAAGAATGTGCGCGAATGACCTACTGGAAGAAGGAAATTGCACATGGATGAGTCTCTTCGTGGAGTTTCCATCGTTTTTTTTTTTTTAAAGAAGGCCTATAGACACAGAAAATACAAGGAAATGCATCCTCTTCTAGGATGTTACGTAACGAGGACATTTTCCTTAATGATTCGGCTTAGAAAAGGTGATCAAACGTTGTAATGCGAGGGAGCCTGAATAGAATTGCGTTGAGAGTATGAATTTTTTATTGTGGTTTGAATTTCATCAAGCAATTTTCAAGAGAGGCATTGTTTTTCGGATGCGTTCCAGACAAACTGGAACACAAGACATTTGAAATTCAGATGAATCCCAGCTATCCTTAAAGTGAAGACAAGGCTGCAACTAATCTTCCATATTGTTGATAACATTTAAAATTGATGAGTTAATTTTATTTTATGGTCCAAAAAAATGAGAATCATACAGAAAAGCCAAGTGTCAGGTTGCATTGGTGGATATATTTCATTCACTTAAGTACCACACACCTTCAAGTAAGACATGTGCACCAGGGTTTTTCTGCTGAAAATGTTGGTAAAATCCTATCCCAAGTAAAATGCGCACCCCATTTTCAGTGCCTGGTGCAGAACCACAATAGTTCAAATATAAGGACATTGAAATTTGACTTTAGATTTGAATTCCACTAACTTTCAATTATTTCCCACACAAGAAGATTTTCTGTTGAACTTGATTCAAAATTTCCCATTATAGATTGAAGTATACAGCTCACATAAACTTCTAAAACTTTGTATAAAAAAAGTATTGAATACCCAAGTATGACACAAACCCAACAGTTTGTCCTCTGAAATTTGAGAAAAAAAGTATGCTTGGTATTTAAGTGAATAATATAATCCCAATGAAAGCTCCAACCTGACTTCTTGGTGCATCAAGAAACAAATTTGAATATTTTCAGAAAGTTTCAAACTACAGGATTACGTTGGATTCTTCAGTCATGGATCTGTTTCTTGATATTGATTGATTGATATACTGATATACAAGCTTTATTTGCCACTTTTCAGCGTTCACAAGGTTCAAAATGTTTCCCACACAAAACTGTGCTGAAAAAACGATTCTAACACATTCCAGCACTTCAGAAGAGATAAATCTGTTAAATTCTAGAGTATTAGAAGAAAATGCATTATTGCAGTAAATACAAGTGGATGTCAAAAATCAGAGCACATGGCAATTACTGAGCACAAATTAATTTTATTATTCTTGATGTGAACAATGTTTCTAGCATCTCGCTTATTCCATTGGGGCATTGTTTTTTTGTTTTGTTTTTTTTGTTTTTTGAGCAGAGGTGGAGATCCACTGCGTCAGAATACAGGTTTTTCTCCGAATCGACGGAGTGTTTTTCATACAAGCCTTGTCATAATTATGAACCAGTCTCTTGGAAATGGGCCAACTTTGGGAATGCCCGAACATTTTCTCCCCGAATGCCTCCCTCCTTTTCTTCTTGCTAGTCTCTGATTCATCTCCCCCTTTTTTTCGCCCTCTTACGCTCCAGATATTTCGTTTATTTATCTAATTTTTATTCTCTTTTTGTTGTTGATATGGAGGGAAGAAAAAAAGGGGTGGGCTTGACCCCCAAAAGTCCTAGTGGGAAAGGATAACCTAAGTCAGGTTGTCACGTGAGGCTCTGACGCGACGAGAATAGTATATAGCTTCTTTATAACAGAGAAACACGGCAAAAGGCACATATTTTAGTGAAACGCACGATTTGTCACTCAACAGTCAACACAAATCCTTCTCATTCCTTTTTTGCTTCAATTTTAAATGTTTTATTTTCTTCTTTCGTTTGAAAGCACTCATTTGCTCACTCTGTTCAGCACAGAGTCTCGAGGGGTTTGTGTAGTCTGGCGACGAAAGAATTCCATGGTTTTGTTACCTGCGTGTTTTCCATGGAGTTTTTGTCATTTTTTATGCATTTTATGATGATTCATTCATGAGTTGGGGTGTTGGGTTGTCTATATGCCGGTGTTCTTCAACCCGTGGTCCGCAGAAGTTTTTTGCTGGTCCGCGGGAAATTTTCAGTTTAAATTTAAATAAAGCAGACATAGGAATGAAGTCGTTAATTTTTTCCTGAAATTTTGAGAAAGCAGTGGCGGTTATAATGAAATAAAAGTTGGCTTTTCTCCTAATATATCACTTCAGACAAATTTTCACCTGATGAAATAAATTATTTTAATTTTTCATTCAGAAAAGCCTTTCTTTAGGCCAACCATTTTTCCAGCTATATAGCTGCTTCATTTGTGCTCAACTTCATTTTTGCAACAAAAAAAGCTTTCAAATGCCATAATGTCCTTTCAAGCAAAATTTCATGAATCTGAAACATTTTTGAAACTTTGCTGGTCTGCAGAAAATTTTTGGGAATTTGCGGGTCCACAAAAATTTTATGTAAATTTGCTGCTGGTCTGTGGGCACAAAAAGGTTGAGGAACACTGGTCTATACTCTTTAGCATGCAGTGATCCCCAACCTTTTTGAGCTTGTGGGCCAATAAATGGCATTAAAAATTGTTGAAGACCTGCACATTTCCCAAAAATGTTCTGCAGACCAGCAGAAACATTTTGTACCATTTTAGAAGAAAGCTTTGTGGCAGGCATTTAAAAAGCTCCTGCTTTTTTCAAAAAGTAAGATCCAATGAAGCCCGCATATGGGGGAATGTTTTCATATTTTCATAGGGGAATGAAAATTCAACAGGTGGGCTTGAGGAAAGGTTTCTCAGACTCAAAAAATTGACACAATTTATTTCAGCATGTGAATATTTTTCTGAAGTGTAATCAAGAGAAAGTCACCTTGTGTTTTCTTTGGATAATTTCAAATATAATTTGCTTTCCCAAGGTTCCAGATGAAGATAACATACTTTGTGGCTACTTTTCTCAATTTATTATGCTGCAGAAAAATTTTCCACAGACTGGCAAACAAAATCTATTTGGGACTGGCGCCAGTCTGTGGACCACGGGTTATTGAGGAGCACTGGTCTATATAGTGCCAAAACTGAGACTTTGAATAAGCCAATTCTCTGGAAATTTCCAGTAAGCTTAAATATAGCCTTGCCTTCCCTTTTGTTTCACCTTCCTGTTACTCATAATCAGAATCAAGAATGTGAACTTGTTCTACTGTGAGAGATATTAGTCATGACGAATTTTATTTTAGAACGAATTATTTTTTTTAGACTCCTGGTCAAAAGCAATTACTTCATTTGAATTTATTTGAGACAAATGTCTTGTCACGAGATGGCTTTTTTCTGCGTCCCATTGGCTTCATTCTGATGAGATTTTACTTTCGATTGGACCCTTTTCGACAAGACAATTTTTATTTCAACATCGAAGTGATGACTACTAGATAAATTGGTGACGACCATCACACAAAAACGTCTAAATAAGCTCTCAGAAAACACACATAAATTATAAATAAAAATAAAAATAATCTCACAAAATATATACAATATAATTCTATACTGTACTACTATATATAAAATAGCATATAAATTAGGTCCAGTTACATTTGCTGTTAATCGAATGCCAAAAAAAAAATCGAGCAGTGAGGTAATTCTGCAGAGAACTTATCAACGTCATGGTTATCCGTTTCTCCGTAAATACGCGAGTATGTGTTCAACGCACATTTTCATTCCATTTTCCTGTGCTCAAATTATATTTCAACTTACACAATGCTACAAAAACCTGAACAAATCCAAGAGATGAATGAGGTAGAAAAGTTAAGCTGCTCCGAATTCTTCGCGCCCAACCGCGCGGAATAATTGTGACCCAAGGCTCGTCTAGAAATAGATAAAAACAAAACAAAAAATACTTGACCTCCACCAGGTTTATTCCCTTGTCTGCATTGTCAGCAGTTCGTCTTTCTCTCTCTCTCTCTTTGACGCTTGTTTTTTTTTTTTTTTTTTTTTTTTGCACGTGAGGCTAGAATCCTTGGAAAACTTTTCGTCGTCGCGGGTCAAGCGTGACTTGGCAGCAGGGGGGAAAATTCTAGAAAGGAAAGCTACACGAAGTCAAGAAAAGGTTTGCAGTCTAGAAGAAAAAATATATGTATGAAGGGTCGCAGGTGTATAGGCTGAGATAAATAGCGGAATAAAACAGTGCTTGGGTACAAACTTCGACAGGCTCTGGAAGGCAAAAAAGTTTGCCACAAAAGGGTCGATATCCGACTTTTCGGCATTTACGCTTTTTTTTGTATCGTGCTAAAATACAAAGCTGTGAATTATGGAGGTGACTTCACCTTGAAACTTTTCTACACGGCAGCTAATTTTTTTTCTGAGTGACAGGCTGAGGTTCATTTGTCTAAAAGAAAATTTGTGCCGTTTTTTATCTTACTCTATAATCATTTTTGAAGAAATTTTAGCAGCAACTTTCTGAGCATCCAAGACAAATTTTCCTCTTGAGTTCAGTCGGAAATTCGACGCTCGAAATTGTTTTTTTTTTGTGGCTGAAGCTTCCGCTGTATCAAATCCCATAAAGTTTAAATATTAATGTCAGAATTATTTCTGAAGGGCTGGAACAAATCGATTTTAGAGGAATAGTACCCAGCATATCAAAACTCAATTTCTGGATCGTTTGTCTTCCTCAAGGCAGACCAGAGCACAGATCGAAGACGACTTCACTTTTATTTTTTTCTGCGCAAATATTTTTGACGATCAGAATATTATAGTTCATTGTCTTAAACTGGCAAAAGAATTTATTTATTTTCCCCTTTATTTTACCGCAACGGAAGGAAATTCAAGGAAATTCAGCAGCAACGTTCTGAACATCCAAGGCAAGTTTTCCTCTAAAAATTCTCTAGAAAAATCAAAAGAAAGGTTTTATTTATCGTGATCTTGACAGGAATTTGCATTCATCATCTCCCTTGCGCAAAAAGCGTTGTTTTTTCATTAAATCTTCATGTATAAT